TGTTTATTCAGCTGCAGCAATAGGCATTTTCTGGGTTTCTTCTGCGAGGCGTATTTGGAGTTTCAGCGCGAGAGCGCCCTCTGGCCTTTGGATGGAGATTTACTGCTGATCACAGAACCGTGCTTCACTGAAAGATACGCATGACAATCGCAGCTTCTGTCGAATCGCGATCTCGATTCCATTTAGATTTATCGTGCAGCCCTATTAGCTACTAAACAAAAATTGTTGTGTCATAGCTGCAATTTGTATATTTGTTGCGATGTAAAAAAGCATCCCACGCTGACAGCTGAAACAATACGCCTGTCACCCATAATCCAACGCAAAAACAATCTAGTGGTTACAGAGTTAGAGCGCTGGCTTTTTGCATCCTCTCCAGGAAAGAGCAGCTCTCAGTGCATTTCTTCAGCTTGTGTATATTTTATTTCATCTATATAGTCTTTACTGTGCTGTAAATCATTATGCAATGCAACATACAGCCATGACGTGTCAGCTAATGATTGAAATGCCTGATGTCTTGCATAATATAACTTTATTTTATTCCTAGAGGTCCTGATTTGAATTACTTTGGATATGTTCTCATAACTCTGTACTGTTTGTTTACGGGCAGGTTATAAGGAAATGACTTAAGACATGCTTATTTTGGGGTGTTAAATAATGGGGCAAATACCTGTAAATTGACTACCCCAAACCTGATTTACCAATGCATGATTTATTTAAATACTCTTCTCTTAAAAAGTTGATTTTTGAAAAGGGAAATTCCAACATATGCAATAAGATCAGCAGCAAAAATAATTGTGTCCACATCTTTTCATCGTTAATTTTTCACTGGGTGTATTTAGTAAATCCTGATAGCATTTTTAACACCAAAAGAGGGTTTGTGCTGGCACAAGCTGCTAGTAAATCTGCCACTAAATGTGTATTTTACATGCAAATGACTGAGAACTTACTAACAAAGTTCTATGAATTAAGCATATTGTTGTTGTTTTGTTGCACAGTTTCAATGTTCCAAATTTTATACACCGCTGCTTGAGAAGAACCATCTTATTTTGTCACATTGTTGGATTTTCATCCTGAAGGAGTTTTATAATCCTTTCATTGTTTTTTGTTGGGGCCACGTTTCTTTCTAATTAGCAAGTCAAGGTCAGTAAGCCTGTCTTTTAACTGCAGACTATTTTGCATTTTGTAGAATCGTGGTGGTATTTGTTTTAGAAATGCAAACTACAAAGTGATTCTAGAATTATTTTCTCTACTTGATCTGGAAAACAATATTCCATTAACTGTCCATTGGGCCAAGAACCTAAACACCCAATATGAGTCTTTTCACCTACCGAATCATATTCTGCATCGTCTCTGTCCTCATCCTCCTCTTCCAGGTTCTCGTACAGGCAGTCATAGCCGAGCACTCTGGCTGGATCCAGCAGCTCGTCTCCCTCGCCCTCATCCGCTCCCACAAAGAAGCGCGGGTGATCGAAGTCCTCGTGCACAGACATGCTCACCACAGACAGCTGTCAGTCACTCTAGAGGCTCATATGAACCTCACAGGCCTCCTACTGCTCATCTTCAGCGTCTCTCTCTTGAACACAGCACAGACAACAACAGCTGACTCAGGGCCAGTTTCTGATGTTTCTGAAAGACAGCTCTTATGCTCACACAGGCTGCATTTATTTGATCAAATACACAGTAATGTCAAACATTCTCAGAATTTAAAATAACTGATTTATGTAATAATATATTTTGAAATTAAATGTATTCCTGTAATGGAAAAGCTGAGTTTTTCATATTATTCACATACTTTTAGCCATGTAGTATATTTAGCTATTAAAATATGAGTGTCAGTGGCAAATTTAGTATCCACTATAATGTAAAAAATATTATCTAGTTTAAAGTTATCAAGTTTTAAGAAACACACTATGTACTATTCACATGGTTTTTTGCTGTTTTTAGGAAGGGATTAAATTGAATGAATCTAAAAACATCATGCAGCATCAAGTAAAATGTAATATATGTGAGTGTACACACGTCCTATTCATTTCCACAATTTCTTAAATATATTTCTTATAGTAAAAAGCTTTTTCACAAATATTATAAATAATTCATAAATATTACATCTTTAGGGAGTCAAATCACCTGAACTACCCTTGTCTTCTAATAAAAGTCAAATTACCTGATATTTTAAAATGATAGCTCCGTTGTGTTTCATAAAAGATGACAGTTTTCTTTTTTGTTCTGAACTATCCCTTTAAGTGACTTGTTGACCTTGGCACACAGTCATGTGGGTCTGGTCCTCTCAATAATATAATTTTCTGTTTAAAGTAGTTTTTTTCTTCTTCACATTGGTTGGACCGCAACTTTGTTAGTTGCACCATGTGACTGATTTGGCACAAAATTTTTTTATTTTCAAACATTTAGAAGTACAGTATTTTTGTTAATATTCTTTTCTAGGGAATACTAATAAAACATTATGCAAGGATTGAATTTTTTAGTAGGCTATTTATTTTTTAATTGCCATCAGAACATTTGTATCAAACTTACATTTTTGACTGATCTCACCTCTAAAAAAAAATTACAATTACCATGTTACAAAACCATGTTCAGAATTATTCATTACAAAACCATGTTCAGAATAATTAATTACAGTACCATGTTCAGAAACAAAAAACGCATTCAAGTTATTGTATGCACTGCACAATATGTTTTGAATGTCATCAACCCATGAACTATTTTCTGTTGAATGTTTAATGGACTCACCTCTCAGATGTGTCGGATTAATCCCTAGACTACCACAGATTCAGAGATACTATCGTCCTGCAAAACAACAAAAGATAAAAAATGATCCAGTTTTTGAAATCTGATTTTTTTATTTTT